CGAATAGCTTTAAATACACAATAATACTACGGGATAAATGAACAGAGTGTTTTAATCGTTCGTCTTCGAAATGCAAAGTCGTTTTCTCTCACGCCTCGGTTTATCTCTCTTGATCCGTTCGGACCGACCACGCCTCCCGGTCCTCCGGACGAACGTTCCGTTCTAGACTAGACTTGCTATTCGTCCCGGTTCGACCGGGAAATTTCCGGTTTTAAAGACGTGTCCTGGTGTCCTGGCCATTCATTCGGTTCGTCCCGGTTAGCTGAGAGTAAACTTGCGCGTAACGGTTGGTCGGGTGAAAGACGTAGAATGAATGAAAACACAGTACGATTACGGTTAGGTTAGGTTAGGTTTCGATTCAAAATCTGACGATTATGGTCTAGACGTACGAGTCTATATGCGTATGGCAAGTGAGACGGGTAATAATGAGTCGCGACCGGACCGTATTTAGAGGGAGGAGCCGGGTCGGCACGCGGTCCCGCGGGGAATGGGGTAACGGCGTTTCATAGGTACGGCGAATCGTTTAAACGGTAATTAAATTTCAAAACGTAATGCGGAGGGGGAGGGGAGAGGTCGAGGAGAAAGAGCCGATCCCGGGGACGGGCGTGCCGGCGTTTGTCGACGGCGAGTAGTCGGGAAGGTTTGATACGCCGTAATAATTCCCGTTTGTTTAATATCACGTGGTATGGTAAACCGTGGAAAACGAAACGACCGGAATGTCGCTAATCGCGTGCGGAGGGGCTGCTGGGTAGGGGAGAGGCGGAGAGATGTGAAAAACGCGGCGAAATTTAAAAACGCTGCGTCCGAAATCTCCGTCGGGAAACGTTGTAACGGGCCGGCGGCCGGAACGACGCGAAACGGGTGCGTCAAAATCCGCTGTAGAAAAAACTCGGCGCGCCCGGGAAACCCAACCGTTTGATGATGGTTGGCCGAGAAAAACGAAAATTTTATTCACGAAACTCCGTGTCGCCGCGGTAGCCGCCGTCGCCGTCGCGCCGTCGGAATTGATCTTTCTCCCCCCCCCTCACGGTCGGTACGGCCGTTTGGCGGAGGAACCCGCTGCACGCCGGCCGTTCGACGGAAAAAAAAAAAAAAAAAAATGAAAACATAGCGACGACGACGGCCAAGACGATTCCCGCGTAGGCGTATATAACAAATGTAATACTTGGATTAATAATTGATAACGCACTGACCTCGGTAATGGTCGCGGTGTGCGCAATTCCCTGCGGCGGCGACGCCACCACCACTGCTCGTCCCGCGGTCCGGATTCGGGATTTCGCGGACCGTATCAATACGAACGTACGGGATGTCCGAACGACGTCGAACTACAGCAAACAACGCATTATTTTTTTATTTTTTTTTTCTTCTGAATTTCTTCCGGCTCGCTCTCGATCCGCCGCTGGTACGTATTATCGATGGTATGCGTGTACGCGCGCGCACCGGCTGGCGTAATACACTGAAGAACACGAATTCAAAACGGACGAAAAAGACGACCGAACCGACACTGGTGCGACGGCACTGGCGGGGCTGTACGACGGGCGGCGCGAACAATTGTTACGTTTAATTACGGCGGTGTACGCGGTCAAAGTCGCGGGTTACGTGTACCGGCGGTGCGAACGGGACGCGGCCGCGGCGATCGGAAACGACATTCGCGTCATCGTCGTGCGCGCGTAACGGTCGGTACGGGTGCGAGCGATAAAACGCGTCGGGCGAACGGACGGGAAACGGACCGGGTGAGCGGAATGCGAGCGAGACGAGAAATGATGTGGGAAAGATAAAAAAAAAAAAACGAACGCCGAAAAACCGATCTCGTTCGCACAGCAGCAACAGCAGCAGCAGCGCGCGACTACCGACTACCCGGACTACGGTTCTAGCACTGGTTAAAACCGGGACCGGCGGCGGAGTGTACGCGAAATACCCCGAGCGCCGACCCCGTCGTCGCCCGCCGCCGTGCCCGAACCCCGGGCCCGTCCCGTCGGTCGCCGGTAGCGCCCCTGGTCCCCGAAAGCGGGACTTGCGTGAAAACGCTATTGGGCGCGCGGGCAACACGTACCTACACAGAAATACGTACATACACGCGTGTATGTTAGAATAATATACAGGGTGATTTTCGTTGTTATTATTATTGTTTTCCCCGTCGCGGTTATCTACCCGCACATTCATATGTACAAACGTGTTGTTATTATTATTGTCATTATGAAATTATTTATTATATTGCGTTGTTACAGTCCCAGGTCCGATTGCAAATGAAATGGGTACGGCATTGATTTACAACTTAAGATTAATCAGTGGCGTAAAAAGACCGTATTATATTTTCCGTTTGTATAATACGCGCGTAACACACGCATTACGCAGTATTACGAAAAAAAAATTGTGTTTACATTATTGTTAAATATATCTACTGGCCGAGTATAGTGAGATCAAAACTATCGCGGTTCGTTGATGAATAATGATCCGTTTTAAACACTAAATTAAATAATGGCGGTTATGAGTTAATAGGTAATAGTAAATACACAAAAATGTATTGTTTCTAAGTTTTGAATATTAGGTTTTAATATGTTTAGTAATTGGAATTAGTATGTAATTATTTAATTTGTAAGTGTTTACTGTGATCGCGCGACTATTTGAACCCCCTCCCTCTACTAAACACTATAGTTTTAATAAATGAGAACTTTTAACAAAAAAGAAACAAACTTTATTATAAAATACAGAAAAAAAATAAATGAATAACTTTTTTGAACAGTTTTCAGGAACTTTTGAAACAATTTGTCTGAAATTTATAAATAATTAACTATTAATATATAATAACAAAAAATTAAATAACAAACAGCTGGTAGAAAAATCGTTCACAGAAAAACAAAATAAAAAATCGCTCCGAATCGAAAAACAAACAGAAATGCTTCAATACACAAAAATTTGTATTGGAGGAGGATAGGTATGTAATAAAAAAAAAAAACAAACAAACAATAGACTGTTGACGGATTTGTCTCCGTTATTGTAGACGGAAAGTATTTAAGGTATTAAATTTATCAGGCAATACATACCTACTTAATACTTATACATAATGTAAATTGATGTCTAATTTATATTGTATATGCATACGCAACGGTTAATCGTCGTTTAGCAAAAACGATTCTGAGCAGAGTTCGGTTAAACAAACAATAAAATAGCCAGATTTTTACGACTTTCATAAAACGTTACACACACAAAAAAAAAAAAAAAAAAAAGAAAAGAGCCATTACATTAACTTTGAAAGTTCACCGAAGAGATAATTTCATAACGGTACATAGGCCATAAAGAATCAAAGTTGAATTGCGCACAATTTAGTCGTATTCGCTATGGCCGTATACGTATGAGATCAATAAAACTAGAAAACTCTTGGTGCCGATGTTACGTTAACACCGTTGCGCACGGATTTGTATTGCCTACATTTTAGGTGCTGATAATATACTACACGATACAGTTAACATTATACAAATTTACAAAAAACACAACACAGCATTAGATCCATTAAAACCATTTGTACCGATATATATATATATTGATTAATTTTCCGAACTGCTATCACTCGGCTTTCTGCGCACCACAGCTTGGGAACCAACTGACGTTTATACCGATATTTATGTATTTTCTCGCAGTTCAACACGCATGAAGCTTACAGGGAAAGACCATTTAAAAGTCGTTTTTTTTTTTTTTCAAACCGAGAAATACGTGTTTTTAATTTTAAAACGTACCGATTTTTTTTTTTTTTTTACAAAGTAAAAAGTTTGATGGTCAAGTTTAATGTTAAACTTCGAAATGCAATACCCACAACATAACAATATTATATTATATGATTGACCAAGGCTATAACACCGTGTATTAACCCAACCTGGTTATAAATCGATTATCTGTTTTCTTATTATTTTTTTTTTTTTTTTCCCTGTATGCATAAATTTCTGGCATTCATTACTTTCGACTAATCTGGTTTTTTCGCCGTTTCGATTGCATCGAAGATGCGACACTTCAATGCAAAACTATTTGATACCGTTATAGTCATTTTGGAAATAAAATGACTTTTCTGGTTTTTTTTCCAAAATAACGATATGGGTTCACATGCGTTGTATAAGTCAACCGATCGCCAGACAAGTGTCCAAGTATAGCCGTGACCAATAATGTATAATACGGCATTATTGTGTTGCGGTTGCTCAAAGTTTAACATTTAATTCAATACGAACATTTAACTTTGTAAAAAAAAATTTGACTTTTCTGGTTTCATCCCTATGCCCTTCAAATGTACACCGTGAATAACGGTAATAGAATACCGATTCTTGGTATCTTTCGTCATACTCATTGTATTTGATGTACTATATATGATACGACGCGTGCTTTTTTAATATTTATTTTTTTTTCCGTTTTTAAACAACTTTACCGCCAGAACCCTTCAGCCACCTTCCAAGCCACCTTCAGTGGCGAACCCAGGATTTTAGCACTGCGGGTCTGCCTCACGGCCGCGGCTCGTATACGTGTTGTGGACGTTGGATAACGGTGCGAAACGATCGTGGACCGCACACCAAGGCTAGGCGCACACCTAAAGAGCAAAACTGCTCCGAGCGGCTCGGACCGGCTCGGGGAGCTGTTTCGGACATCATTAGTGACGTCGTGCAAAGTTAATTGACGCGCGCGCGCTGATCGGTCAACATCGACACACGACAAGGCAAAACAAAACACGTTCGGTCATGTTCGGTCCGGTTCTATTTTTGCTCCGAGCAAAATGCGAACAGCCGAAGTCACTTGTTTATTTCGCGGCCAGCACACAACCACCGGACACCGTGCGAACACGGTGTTTTAACATTCATATCATATCATGTTAATTGAACACGGCATGCGGCGGTCCAGGAAAATTAATAAATTGCAGTGTTTCGCAGAAAATCTATTTGTGATTATTGTGATAAAGATCGTAGCGACAGATTGATTCGAGATTGTTTTCTAACCGTTTTTTTTTTTTTTTTTTTTTTTGTTTATTCCGTCCATCCAACCAACGCAATGTTTTTGCTACTTTCGGTATTTAATGAAAAAAATTGCCACGTAAGCGGCACAACGACGTCGTCTCCGTCAGAACTCATCTCGACGACCGGTGTCTTGGTCTTGGTACTGTTTTGCCGGTGCGAATGGAATTTGTTCCGAACAAAATGTCCCCGAGCCGCTCGGAGCAGTTTTGGGTCTTTGACGACAAGAAAATCTATAAACAGAATAGGGATTTTACTCAATGTGCGATAAACATGTTTACGTAAACAACAACAATACCGATAGGCATTTTGATACTTCGGTGACCGGTCCTCGCGTCTTTCTCCGTACACCGCGATGTGTTTATAAATTTGTAATTATATTTTCGTAGAAATGTTCCCCAGCCGCCGTGTACATTTTATAGACTACTCGTAACAGCCACATTATTATTAATTTAATATCGTTTCTATTTTGATTATTGTAGTGTCGTACACGCTCGTGGTGTTTGTCATTTCGAGGGGCCCCACGTTAGGCCGAGAAAAAACCCGCGGGTCAGCTGACCACCCGAACCCCCTCCCCAGCCCCTGCGGCTTGTACCGTACGAAAATGCCGGAGAGACATTTTTAGTTGCGTTTCGCACGTTTTCCAGACGGGTCGGTAAGAAAGTCGTTTTCTCGGTTTTCTTGTACTTTCCCGTGAATAATTGTGCAGACTACCGACCTTCCCGACATTCCGTCCGAATCAGCGGGTACACCCGTCCCCGCGGTATCAGCCGAATCCTCTAACCGAACGCGGGCGTAGTGATTGTGACCCCCAATCATACAAGGTGACGAGAAATGACGCCGACGTAACGTTTTAGAACTGCTTGTTTCTTAAATTGTCCAAAAAAAAGTTATTTCTTTTAGGGACGATATAATAGCCGTGCCGAGGATTGATCATCGGGAAAAAAAGATTTATGTGTACGAAAATATCGTGTATGGCAGACTGCAAGATAAATTTGACAATGGTAATTGACCGGTCGATTTTTCCGTCTCGATAAACGACATATTATATGCGAAAATATTGAATTTGCCCGGTGATCCCGCAGTAGTCGATGTGGTTGAATTACGCCGTAAACGACGGGACGTTTCGATACGATTATGTTTTTTTTTTATTTTTTTCCGCTTAAATACTATCCGCGAGCCCGTATTTTTTAAACTCTAAACAAATTTACCGTCCAACGGCAACGATTCTATCGTCGACAGAAAAAATAAAACACGAGTAATACGCATTAACCGAGCCGATAAATCGGATCGGACCGCGCGTACAAAAAATACCAAACAACCGTAGACACCCGCTTGTACCAATAGACGAGCTATTGAACGCTAGAGGGCGCTTTTGACGGAGGCTGGGGTCGCTTTTTCCGAGAATACGTTAACGCGCGATAAGAAATAAAACGCTATGTGAAGTGTGAGATGTACACGTGCGGCCAACAGCGACTTTGTCGAAAACGCGCCAGGACGAAATTCCGTGTCTTAAAATTAACAACGTTGCCGTTAGTTCGAGGTTTCGTACATCTTTTTGCGAACCGTGGTTAGTTTTTAATTTACTTTGTGAATTCCGCATCGAGTTGTTTTCACAATTACGTCTAGTTTTCGGCGTTTCTCCGTTGTAATCCGATTTATGAGCTCGGCCGCGAGATCAATAACATTGCGTTGTATTCATAACTGTGCGCGATCGCGGAGTGTTATTGGGCGCGTGATTACCGCTCGATTTACCGTAAACGTACGTGCCCGTTACCGGCGGGATGCGATTTTACGTTTTCGTTTTCCGGGGTCGGTCGCGTCGACGAAATGAAAACACGCGTTACCGGCCGGAAGATTTGGACGGCCCGGATGAACTGTCCCGCGGCCCCGGCCCGTGTGTGTGTGTGTGTGCGATAATAATAAAAAACCCGCCGCTCGCTCACTCGCGTTATTGCGGCGTCCGGCGCGTGATAGCCAATTGCGATACCCCCGGCGGCGACCGCGACTCCGCCGAGTCACACTGCTCGATCAACGGTGAGCCGCACGGCCTGAAGTGAACCGCCCGGCTTTGCGGCCCGCGGTTTACGGCGGCCCGCGCTAATGACCCGTACGGCGATTGTTGCGTGTGACGCGCGGAATACCGCGACGTCAAAACGATTATGCCGCGCGACGCGCGCGGCTCCGTTTTCCCGGTTCGGCCCGCGTTTTTGACAACGACGCGCGGGGCCGCTGTGCTCGGAAAACGCCCGCCCGCTCGTCCGCGGCGCCCACTCCCCGATAGATACGTGTCTGCGTACGTGCGTGCGGGGCTACCCGTTTCCCGCCGAAATCGCGGCCGTCCCACTTTCCGCCGAACGAAACGGATCGGTCTAACGTTCGCACGGTAACGGGCAATCGCACACGGTGTTACGGCTATTGGAATTGAATAAAAAAAAAAAAACACAAAATTAAATTAAAAATCGTAACGGTTTCCCCTCCCCCCCCCGTTTGTGTTACGATGAAAATTGCGTTTATGTTTTTTTTTTTTTTGAACGCTGGGTAAAAATAGTTGTCGATACTCGTGACGGTTGTCTTAGCGCAATTTTTCGCGCGGAAAATATCACAAATATAACCGCTATTTTTATTAGCGCCGTGTAAGTTTAAACTCATTTGTATTGTTGACGTGTTTTCGTAATTATTATTGTTATAAATTTGTTCTGCAATACAACAACAATCATTTGTGATACGATCGTCCGTCGATATTCAAATATTAGACTGATCATTTTTCGTTTTTCGCGGAAAAGAGAAAGGTGTACGTTTTCCGCTGAAACGGACAACTCCCGCGACGGCGTATGCGCTACAGGTATCCGGGAAAACCGAAACGGACCGAGTGCGCCCTGCAGAGCCGGCCTCACTTGGCCAGGGTTCATCGACCGCCCCGTCACCGTCGAAGACGTTTCCGAGAAGTCTATTTTCGGAACGCCCAATCGGACGTTCGCGTTCTACGGTTCGCGGGGCCCGCGACCGGCCCGAGCGCAGCGCGCTCTATACGGGGACCATTTGTTCCGCTAGCGTCGAACCGGAGGATTTTCACTCGATATAATATGCGACGAAAACCGTTTGAACTTTATGCGTGGGATACGACGCTCGTACGGCCAACGGGAACGTTATAAACGTGCCGCGATTTTCAAAACCCGTAACAATTTTCGTCGTTTCGAGTATTTGTTTAGATTCCGAGCGCAACGATGAATGTGTTGGGTTTAAAAAAAAACAACCTCGTTTTTATTTGCAACGGATAAATTCATTCGACGCAACTCAACTGCTTGACAACATCACTCTCGAGTTCATTATAAGATGTACTCGATGATCGAAAAAAAAATAATACATCCCAGGATAATGGGGACGGGGGTGCAGCCACTGTTATAGATAATTCAATGTATATCCGTATGCAACGATTAATCATTGATAACGAAAAACGATTCTAACTGGCACTCGGTTATACATGTTTTAAAAAGTTGTGATATTTACGATTTTCGTCAAAATTTGATATTAAAAATCGTATAAAAAAAAATGACATTAAACTTAACTTTTTTTTATTAACCACTAAGTATAACTAACCAATCATTAAATTTTAAAACATTTCTGTTTAGTCAAAAAATGTTTTGTGCAAAGTACCAAATAAATAAAAATTTCTTAAAAACTCGAAAAATTAAAATGTCTATAAATAACTTAATAATGCCTCAAATGTGTTGAACATTTTACCACGTCTAGAAAAGGAAAATACAAGCATTCTGTCCAAATTTAAAATCTCTAAAAACATTTTTTAATTCAATTACAACAAAAAAAGACAGACATACTTAGCACGTTGGTGCAACCACTGTTATATGTGAAAAGTTGGGAAGGTAAGATACAGAAGGGAATTTAGTGTATCTGTAAGCAACGATAGACCATTGCCAACGAAAAACCGATTCTGAACGGAGATCAGTTGATAGTGATCCTTAAGTATAAAAAAGAAATATAATATGAAGATTAATAGTTGAAAAATGTATTGAAATCGAAATTTATTTTATTTTAGCTCGGTCTATAGTATTGCTTTTTAAACAATGTGCGTTTCCACGACAATAATGATTGTTTAAAAAAGATTAAAATAATAAGAACTTAATAATAACAAAAAGTAAATAAAAACGGTGCCAATGACAACCTTATTTTTAATCTTTCAATCTTTTCTAACCTAAAGAACCAGATTTTCTTTATTTTCTTGAATATTAATACGAATTTCAAAAAATGACCTCCCTAGAGTACTCCTCAGAGAATATTTCATTTCAGAAAAGATACTATATTTGATAATCGGAGTAATGTATCTGGTAGAAAAAGTATTCACATAAAAAAAAAAAATAAACATCATTGTAAAACCAATAAATTCCTCGCTCCGCTCAGAATCCGAAACAAAATTGAAAAAAATAAAAACATTATTTTCGTACAGTTTCCCGTTTTTCCTACGTTTTTTTCCCAATTATTATAAAAACTGCTTGAAAAATCAAAAAATTTACCTCATAAAGGTACCGACTAAATTAAATTCCCTTTCGGAAAAGATACTACACTTAATACACCGGAGCAAGATTTCTGGTAGACATGTTGTACACGGGATTAAAATAAAAACCAAGAAATTCCATACTAAAAAATCGTTATCAATATTTTTTAAAATACAAGTTTGTACTTGTTATCAATATCTTAGGTAACAAAAATGTAGACCAGAATGTGAGCTTAGATAAAATTTCCTGTTTAATTAAATCAGTTATTGGAACATTTGAAACGCTTTGGAGAGATTAAATAATTTTGTAAAAAAAACACAATATATTTCATTGATAAACACCCAAGTTAATGAGAAAATGAGAAATGAAAACATTTTCTTTTTTAGAAATAACTCGTGTCACTTAAAAAAAACATTATATTTTATTTGTATTTATTATTTGCATGTAGAAATTAAACAAAAGATAATAAAATCAATTCATCTCGAGGGATATAGTTTATCAACACAAGGTGCTAATGGATTGATGAATCAAATATCATAGCAGTGTATTATTAACGTATAAATAATTATTAACTGTTTTATACTGTTATATACAATGAGTTTAAAATAAGGATTCTCAGATGAAAATTTAGATTTAGCCAGCTGTGTTTTTCTTTTTTATGCTTAACTATTTAATAGTTTATCGTTAAATTAATGATTATAAAGTAAATACAAAATAAAATAAAAACAATTAAACAGTCATAGTTTTAGAATTTTTAATAATTTTTAGGAGTTACTTTATCGGTATGAAACGAT